GTTCATGCCGGGTCTCCTGTGAAGTTCTTCACGTAGACGATTTGATTTTTGCGAATGCGCCGTTTGCTTCCTCCTCCGTGAGCTGGACGTCTTAGGGCCTCAGGTGTGTCAATGCGGTTGGTTGGGAGTTCACGACCAAGCACCATCGTGGAGGATGTTTGCTTTGTGCCCACATGCGTTGTCGAGTGTTGCTTTATAATTAAACGTGATAGTCGGTGGGTGATGGGGACGTCCCTTTCTTTCAGAAGCGCTCGCTTAAGTTCGAAGACCATGCACTCTGCTTTACTATTCGTGGCAGGATGGCATGGAGCGCTCGTGACATGTTTCACTCCATTTCGTTGGAAAAATTCTTCTGTTTCGACCGAAACGAAAGACGGCTCGTGGTGAAGGTATAATTGCGTGGTACACCGAAGGTCGCAAAAAAGGCTTCTGCATTTGTCGATTAGGTGTTTTGACTGAATGCTCGTCGTTTGGTGTACTTCAAGCCGTTTTATGAATGAGTCAACGGCAAGCAAGAACGTGCTGCCCTCAATGGGTCCTGCAAAATCCATGGGAATTGTCTGACCTTAATGCACTGCTCTTGGCCATTCTGCAAGGGGTGCCTTCGCAGGTGCGCTTCGGTTTTTCTGGCAGGCTCCGCATTCTTGAGCAGTCTTTTCTATGTCTTTCCTGAGGCTGGGCCACCAAAGGTACCATCTAGCGTAGGCCTTGATATAAATGATGCCAATGTGCCCATAGTAAATAATTTTTAAAGCTGTGGTGCGAGCCGCGATCGGTATTGCTACTCGAGAGCCCCTGAGTAAGCACCCTTGGAGCGCCGACAGCTCGGGCGCTAGTTTGACATAAGGTCAGAAGTCATCGCCTTTGACTGCATGTATTTTTTTTTCTGGGCTTCCTGAATAAGTGCTGCGAGAGGTTTGCCTTCGCGCGACAGCGTTGCAATGCGCCTGGGCGAAAGTTTGGACAATCGCACATTCTAGCATCAGAACATCGCCGGGCCAGGATGACTCATCGTAATCTCCTTGCAGTGGCAGCCTGCATAATTCATCTGCGTTCTGGTTTCGACTTCCTTTTCTGTAAAAATGCCATAGTTTAAGCAGACAGCTTCAGACACCATCTGGCCATACGTTGTGGGAAGACCTGCGGGAGGGGCCTTTTCGGCCCGAGGATGCTGAGTAGTGGCTGGTGACCAGTTGCGATAGTCACAGGTCTTCCAGTTATATACTTCTGAAAATGATGAACACCGCATATCACGGCAAGTCTTTCCCGGTCTATTAGGGTATAATTTCATTCCGCCTTCCCGAGCATTCGGGATGCGAAAGCAATAGGTGCTTCTGCTCAACTTTCATCCACTTGCGATAAAATAGTGCCGACACCATTTGGTGACGCGTCACATATTATAAGGGGTTCGCGCTCATTATAGTGTGCAAGCAGCTGTCGCGAATGAGTTTTTTAACTCTCCGAATGCATTTTAGGGCTCTTTTTTTATATCTACTGGGTTTCTTTATGTGAAAGCGTGTACAATAGTGAGGCTACTGTCACTCTGTCCTTGAGGAAGTGGTCGTAGAAATCAAGCAAGCAAGCATAAAGATGCTTGGAACTCAACTCTAGTTTTCGGTGCTGGTTAATCCAAGTTAGCTCTAACATTCTCTCCAGTCGTACGTACCCCTTGTTCATCGATGCGATGTCCTAAGAAGTACACGTGTTTGTCCCCAAATCGGCATTTGTCTTTCTTAGGCACAGGCTCATATTACCCAGTCTTGACAACACCTGGTCTAGCCGCTCGATGTGTTGATCTGGCGTTTCTCCGCAGACAATAATGTCGTCGGGACACACGGTGGTGCCAGGAATCCTGGCGAGAGTTGTATCCTTGATTTTTTCAATTATTGCTGGTGCTGCTGAGATTCCAAATGGAAGGCTCTTGATCGCATACAGTCCATTTATTGTATTCATGGTTTAAACCGTTGCTGTGTTTCCAGTGACCGGAAATTGCTGTTGAGCTTAAAATAGATCAAGCGTTGAGAACATTCTTTCGCCTCTGAGAGCTGACAACACCATTTCAGTGGTGGGAAGCAGGTAGGCCGTTTTCACAGACGGTGCATTTACCGCGCTTCTATTGTCACCACAAATTATTAAAAATCCACAATTCTTCCACCCCAAGATTGGCTTGAGCCCGTACCTCTAATGGTAGGGGCTGCCCCCCCTTTTCTTTCTAGTTATTTTCATATATAAGGGTTGGCAAAAGCACACATCAAGGGTGTTGCCCAATCCGAGTGTTGCACTGGTTGCAGAATGCCTTGTTGCCTCAAGTGGTTTAATTCCGGCCCAGAAGGTTGCATCCATTACCTTCCATGACATGCAATGGCAGAACGTAATCTTTAGAATCGTGCCGCACTTGTACTTCAGCAGTGTCAAGGAAAATCAAGTGCTCTCCAAACCACTTGGTCATGTTTAGTTCTAATTAGGCTAGTGGCAGTGGTTTTGTAGGCCAAATTTTGTCGTAAGTTTCCTTGCTTATTAGCGAATACGCTGCCCTGGAGTCAACGTCAGACTTCAAAAGCTTGCCATGAACGCGTAGTGGCGCCATGAACTTGAGACAAGCTTGCAGGATTTTTACTGTATTAGGGCCCCATGTTGACTTGTCCCCAGACTCTTGCATGCTTGCAGGTTTCGGCTCCATTTGATGCGTACAAGTTTCGTGTTGCTTTTTCTTCGCGATGCAAATTCTTTCAATGTGCCGTATTTTCTTCTGAAAATTGCATAAGGAATTCCGGAACTTGCACTCACCCAAATCGTGCAAGCTGTCGCATCTGTAGCAATGTGTCTTGCGTGAAGTGTGCTGATTTCCTTTCGCACCTCTTTTCTCCTGGTTTGTTTGGTGCACTTGTAACTTTTATGTTTTGAGCTTGACGCTCTTCTGCTGCAGGGCAGCACTTTCCTCCTTCACGGTGAGCTCAAAAGCCTTCTGGAAGGCAAGGTCGCTCTCTGCGAACAGACACTGTTGAGTGAGCTCGTTTCGAATACCGCAGACGAGACGGTCGCGTAACATGATATACAAGGAAAGCGCGGTGGCTGCGGCCGTTATAATCACCGTCGCCTCGGTCGCGGGCATTCCCCTGACGCCAAAGTAACAATCCGTGGCGAGTTTATGTAAAGTGGCAAGGTAAATAGCAATGGTCTCGCCCGGTTGTTGGTCGCGTCTTTGGAATTCGCAACGACAGTAGAGATCAGATGGGCGTGGGTCGCAGTGTGCAGCTAAGGTTTGGATGATCTCTTCATACGGCACTTCTCCTGGGATCTTTGGTGCTACCAGTGCGCGGATGGTATCAAACGTCTCCGGCCCGCGCAGAGTCAAGGGCAGGGCTCGCTTCTTGTCATTGGCTGTGGTGGAATTCGCCACAAAGTAGAATCCAAGCCGTTGAATCCATGACGTGTGGACCTACCCGAGAAGGGCTCGATGGAAGCTTGATGAGACGCCATTGGCAGTGGATCACAACCGTATTTTCAGAGGGTTTACGTTTCCCTCGTCGCCAGGGCTACATACGTCTGTTCGCTTCATTTATTAGAAGCACACTGCTGACACATGCAGGCAGTGGTTCTGCTTATGGAGGAGAGGGCAGCATGCCCTCGGCGCGTGCGCTGCTGCTCGGTGCTCTGACGTGAATATCGTGTGGCCTAAACCGAAACTCGAGCACAACACTGAACCGGAATCTCACGAGCACGACAGATAGATAGAAGGATAGATAGATAGATAGATAGATAGATAGATAGATAGATAGATAGATAGATAGATAGATAGATAAATAAATAGATACGCTCAAGGTCGCCAAGTTCGCCAAGGAAGGCTTCGCATTCAAAATACACGTGCAAGGTAGCAAGAAGTGTATACTTAAGAGCTCGTTTTCTTCTTCTAGGCAGAATATTAGTGAGAACTACTACACAAGGTAAGCGATGATGGCCTGAGACAAAATTAAAACTGCGCTTGGAAACGTTGCGTTGAGTGACACCTTGTGCCTGCAAATTTTTCAATTTCGTCCAACTTCATGCCCTAGATTGTGCCTTTTTTGAATACCTGCTTTTGATGGACGTCACATTTGTTTTTGTGAAGAATTTACCGTTAAAAACAGTCACACCTTGAGGTAGTTCTGCTAACCATAGCTCTTAAGGTACAACGTGGAGCGATGTACGTCCAACCACAAGGAGAGATCAGGCCTAGCTTACAGCCTCACACATAACCAGCCGGGTATGAGATGAGCATAAATAACGAGCGGCCCGTCGCGCATTTGTGAATGAGCGACAAAGCGTATGCTTAGGCTAAATGGCGATTTGGAATCAACATGTTTGCAAAGCACAAGAAAACAAGTCCTAACTTCGGAAGGAAGAAACATGATCAGAAAAAAGGCCCTTGTTGTCCATGATTATTTCCTCCGTAGCTAACGCCATGGTCACTAGTTTTCTGGCGATGTGCAAACGTGTTGTGAACCAACGAAATGATTGCCCGCCTTCACGGGGTAAAATATGTTTCAGGGTCACTTGCATGATTGCTTTGAGCCGGTATGATCAGCTCATATCATAGCAATATGATACAAACGTGTCGCGTTATCGGTGGCAATTTAAGGTCGTCGTACTAGTTATCCGTACTAGTGCAGGTGAATATTGGATGCCAGAGCCCTGAGTGAATGACGATAGAAACGTCTCTTCCTCTTGAGGCGGACCCTCATCTGAAGCAATTAGATCTGAAGCTTGGCGTGATGCCAAAGACCCTAAATTAAACTGTCAATCAAGCGTTATCTTCACAAGTCATGCACATTTGATGTAGATAATCAGAAAGCAATTCGTTCTTGTCAACTGATAGCGGCAGTAATTTCCTCTGTCACTCTGTTTTCACAGCAACTTGATGAATGCGATTGCAAAGGAGCAAAGAACGATAAAATTAAATTAACAGATTATATAATTTAAAACTATGCTGTCATCGTAAAAAGGTCATCGCTACTTTAGTCGGCACGTAAAGGGACATTGACGAGTTTTGAACACCAGTGAGCAACTACATATAACAGTTGAAACTAGGGACCATTCAGAAACAACTGAGGTGGACGTGCTTCGAGAGGTGAGGTTCCCAACTTCTTAATGAATTTTGCCGAATGTGGTAGTCCCGTTGAAGCCTAAAAGTATGAACAGAGCTCTTGCGTCATGTTAACCATGACTTATATCGTAATTTAGGTGTTTTTGCTCCGTTGACGCCAAAGGGAGACTACATTTGGATTAAAAATACTTTGCACAACACAGCCACTGCCAAGGTTTCAATAATTAACAATTAGACACCATGGCCCATCTGAAGAATAGCACAATATTTTAGTAAGTGAAGCTTCACGAGGTAACTTCCCAAATTTTAAATGTATACTATGGCAAAAATTAGTTTGATATTTAAAGAGCATGTCCTACGACAAGCTATTCAGCAGGATGATTCTATTCGCATTTAGTTTTATATGACAACCTACTGGTTAAAAAGAGAAAGGGAAAAACACTGTTTTTTTTTGCTGACTAAACGACGTTTGTATGCCATGTGTGTTACTTGGTTGACTTCGAGGTTGCAATTAGTGAGTAACAGGGAGGTTGGGAATCACAATATGATGAATTTTTTAGAGTAGTGCAATGCACAATGTAGTGTAGTGGTTATGTAGCTCGACTGCTGACCCGCAGGTCGTGGGGTGGTATCCGCCTGTGGCAGCCACATTTGCGATGCAGGCTATCATGCCTGAAGCCAATGTGCTCAGAATTACCTGCTCAATAAAGAATACCATATGTTTTAAATTTCCGGAGCCCTCTAGAAGATATCTCTAATAATCATATCGTGGTTTTGAGACGTTGAACGCTAACAATAATATTGCTGTTATTCTTCCAGCGATGCCAGATACAAGATATGTTGCTAAGGCAAACGCTGTGCAAGAATTATTGCCTTTTTCACGGCAGTAATGATGTTCTTTAGCTCTGGGTATAGAAACTTTTAGGTCGTTAAACCCCAAATATTATCAATCTATCAATCAGTATGGGCGCGTTTTGCTCCTTCTTTTCCGAACACAATAGTGGCCGAGTAAAAGTCACATATTATGAATAGGGGAGAGTAAAAAAAAGACTTATCCGTGTCTATCCGTACTCATTACTCATGCTCCCCCGTCAGCAGAGGTGGAGAAAGAAAAGAGAGAGAAAGTGCGTTATAAAGCTCATCCTCTGTTGAAGATTTCTTACCCTCTTCCAGCCTGCATCAACTTCTACATTTCGAAAGAGTTGAGAAGACGAGCCTCTGCTGTGCTGCTGTTACTGCTCGTCTGTGGTTTTTGTTCAAATTTCCTCGTACTGTCGCCCCCGTGGCGGCTGCGATGACAACAGCAAGGACGGATGCTCCACCCCCTCTTCCCCCAAGACCAGGATGTGGCATGCAAGCGTGAAATAGGACTGGTGCGCTCGAGCATCTGAACATGGCACTGCTCTTCTGGGGAATATATGGAATGTGACGGTGGATATGCTGAGGCCACGAACCACCGATTGAAGAGGAAGCTTCGCAGGACTTCAAGCGTTAGTGACCTCAATCGCAATACATTCATCCTCTCCGCAGACCACGTACGATTGCTTACGTCCCCTATCACTGCTACAGGCAACCTGAATTCCCTGAATAGACAAACTCTCACGGCATATCTTAAAGGGATAGCTCCAGGACAAATAAAAAAGGTCCGCATTAATCCCAGAAGAAACATACTCGGCTGCTGACGTTTCTTACACGAGCGAACCTCAATGCATTGAAGGTTATGATTTAGATTGACAACATACCTGTGCGCTTCTGCATTATGAATGGAGGCTGCACAATTGGTGGTGTGATTTCTGATGAGGATAAGGATATTGATAGCAATGATTTGTTAACGCTGATATCCCCAACTGTCAATATCGCAGACGTACACCGCTTTGGACAGTCGAAACTGTGAAGATAGTGTTTAGGGGGCACATTGCCATCGCATGTGAAAGTGGGCTATGTGGGGCATCCTGTCCGCCCGTACGTACCTAGGCCATTACAGTGCCGCAAATGTCAAAAACTTGGGCACGTTAGCGCTGTGTGCGTGAACAGGTTGACTTGTCCCCGCTGCAGCGGAGATCGTGAAGAGTCGTCATGCGCTATATCTACCTTGAAGTGCTCTAACTGCGATGGCCCGCATGAGTCGAGGTTGAAAGATTGCCCTTAAATAAAGACTGAAATTACCGTGCTTAAGAAGATGGTACGAGATCACTCTACGCATAGAGAAGCGGCTTCCAAGGTGAACCATTGTCAGAGGCGCTCTCGTAACCGCAGGAGGAGATCAGCATCGACAAGTGTACGAAAGCCTGTATTGCCTGATGAGTCAGGGAGAGATCCTTTTATACCTGAAGCGCTATCTCAACTTCGAGTCACAACTTATTTGACGAACGTGACGGATAATACCTCATAGCCTTCTCTGCCGCCTCGGAGTGCTGAAGATCAAGGACCAGAAAACCAGCATGAACACGAGACTTCGTCATTAGATGTGCAAATCAAAGCAATGCTCACGCAGGTGATCCATGCTTTGCGAATGCTGCTTATTGGTGTCAAGACGCCTGTTGCCAAGGCTGCAGTGCAAATTCTAGACAGACCAAAACCGGTGCTTGGTGCTGTATAAAACCAACAAAAATCATGGCGTCGGCAGTCTCATCGTCACACTGAGTAAAAGAATGAGTCGTTTTGTTCTATTTCTATGAAACGCTCAAAAGCTATGAGGCCCCCTTGGAGATTTTAAAGAGAGAATGCTGAAATATCAATTCCCTGTTGCTGTGATGTGCGAGTCGCATACGACTTTACATTTTAGACTGTCTGGATATGAACAATTCACTTCCCAGACAAGAGGAAACTCTAGCAAAATTATACTATTCGTGCGTTTTGACCTGACGTATTCCCATAACTAAATACCTAAGCATAGCAGCAATGAGTACGTTTCCAGCACGTTGAAACTAAAAAGACGTACGATATCGAGCATTTGTACGGTATCGATCATTTCGCCGAGCGGGAGATTTGATACTCAACACCTGAAACTTGTCATCGACTCGAGTCATGACCTCACGTCATCGTAGGCGACTTCAATGCACATCACCATCTTTCGGGCGGCAGCGTCATAAATACTCGGGGAAGACATCTCCTAGATTTCAGAACCAACAATGGCCTTCATACTCTATACGACGGATCTCCGTGGCTCAACGTACAGCAGCTGTCTCGACTTAGCTATCGCTTCTCGGTGCCTTTCAACACCCGCCGCCTTGTGCGCAGACGTTGAAACATATGGTAGTGATCACTTACTTACATACAACTACGATGGTATACCGGCGTTGCAAGCATTCGAAGGCAATGCACAGATTGGGAGGCTTTTTAAGAAGAGCTAGAAAAGTCTAGTAGCTATATAGTTTTTCCTACAGAAATTGAAGAAAGAATTGCCACAGCAGTACAGACCACTACACGAGTGGTCACAACATCTAATTCCAGGAAAGCCGGTTGATGTGATATACGAACAGCTGTGGGCAGTTAGTCGTCCAGCTGAACGCAAGTACGGGCGAACGAAATCGATCGCAAGACCTGAGGACCTCTCGTAAATTGCAAAAGAAAATTCAGAGGTACTTAGGAAAGCTTGGTCGCCAAAACTGGAAGTCATTTCGCTCCACCCTGGACGCACGAAAATCACTGTCTAAGATATGGCACGTCGTATGAGCTCTACCACTTTCTCCTCCGCAACTGCAGTCCTTCCGTCCATTAGCCATCATAAGAACATTCAGTGAGAAACGGATCGCAGAAGGATTTTGCATGCACCTCTCTGGCTCTGCAACAATGGATATGGCTCACTGCTTCGGTGCGCACCCCCTATGGCAGACGTCCGTCTCGACCATCCTTACGCTGCAAGAGCTTCATGGGGCTATGTCCACTTCTCAACGTTCCAATGCACCTGGGTCTGATCGAATATCCTATGCTACCCTGCGCCACCATGGTCCTCGGGTAACCGAAGAAATGCTGTCTTTGTACAACCTTTTTTGGGCAATTGAAACTGTACCGGCACACTGGAAGACTAGCAAGATCGCGGCATTGCTGAAACCAGGCAAGTCTCCCCGTGATGTGCTATCTTACGGACCTGTAGCGCTAGCAAGTTCTGTAAGAAAACCCGTGGGACGAATGGTTCTGATGCGCTTGAAATGGCTCTTAGAGAAGCACAGAGTATATCCAGACACCATGACTGGCTTCCGGAAGAAAAGGTCATCCATTGACAGTGTAATTGATTTGGTAACAATCATAAACATCAGAAACGGCGCCGCCGATCAACGGCTGCAATATTTCTTGATATCACAGGTGCATTCGACAATGTTCTGCATGCACCATTCTAAATGCTCTTGAAGGCTATGGATTGGTGGCCGCATGCATCAATAGATAGCCAGCTATCTTCAAGAACGAACTATATTCATGTCTACTGCCGACAGTGACACAAATAAGCATCCCGTCTATCGTGGCGTGCCTCAAGGTGGAGTCCTGAGCCCAACATTATTTATTATCGTACTTGTTGGCCCTATTAAATGCTCGTTAAACAAGGAGTCAAAATCTCGGTGTCTGTGTACGCAAATAGCATTTGCATTTCAACAATGCGTCTAACACCTTTGCAAGTACGAAAGACACTACAATGTGCGTATCGACGACTTCTGCATACCTCAATACCTGCGGACTGCAACTGTCTCTGACGAAAAGTGCAATCCTGCCATTCACGAGAAATTCCATAACTTTATACCTCATAGTGATCGATGGAAACATAATACCTTCGGGAACTCATCATAAGTTCCTCGGAGTTATCATCGATCGTGATTTGTCTTGGTCGAAGCACATCGCATCGCTAAGAAAAAAACTGGACAGCTTTGTCCAGGTGATTTGCCATATGTCTGCGAAATCATAGGGACTAATAAAATCATCTCTTCTGCAGCTACAGCAGGCACTTTTCATTGGATACCTTCACTACAGAGCTCCTGTTTTCTCCCGTACTCGCACATAGGCTATACGTACACTCGAGGGAGCTCAGGCGCGTGCCCTAAGAATTTGCCTAGGAGTACCTCGATGCACTTCTACATGGGGCAATATTGCAGAAGAACGTGCTTGTCCAGCTCTTGTTTATCTTCAACACGAACCATTACGAGTACATCTGAGGGCACTGACAAGGCATCGAGACCATCCACAGACAGACACTTTTAATCACAAAACCCAATCCTGCATACTCAGAAGCTGTTATGTCGCACCGAGATCTGCTGCCTCCAAATTATGCACCACATATTATCTCTGACATACCACTCTGGACGATTCCTAAGCCGATTGTGCGACTTTCGATCCCAGAAATAACGAAGAAGTCAAAAATACCATCTGCTGGTCCTTAGCATTTCACTTTGTCGTATATTGATTATATGTATGAATATGCAGTACACATTTTTGCAGATGGCTCTGTCACGCAGACCTGCTCAGCTGAAGATTTCACTGTACCTCAAATGGGATTCAATCAACGCTTCAAAATAGCATACCGGACATCATCTACTGCCACCGAACAGACCGGCATCCGACACGCTGCGTGCTACATTTTACAGCAGAGTCCCGCGAAATGGACATTATTTTGCGACTCCAAGCCGGCACTTCAGGCAATTAGAAACTACATGAAACAAGACACTGCATACAGTCGTCTGGTGTGTGGCATTATGAATATGTTGAATAGGGCATTTTAATCCGGACATACCATTGCGTTGCAATGGATTCCCAGTCATTGTGACATGGCTGGAAATGAACAAGCTGATACAGAAGCGAAAATGATGCACACTATTGGCGAAGTGATATCAATTCACTTTTCCCAATATGACATCAATGTCTTGCTGTATAAAAATATGAATGCATCTATTCAAGGACTATGGAATGATCAGGATTATCGCCACAAGGGCGTTTAAAGGCTTGACTCTTGTGCTTTTCGCCTTCCGTTCCGACCGAAGAGAGACCAAGAAACGCTACTACATAAACTGCGGCTGGGTGTTGCATACACGCGACGATACTTATGCATGATTGGACTAGAGCAAAATTCTAACTGCAACTTGTGTAAGACGCCAGAAACTATTATTCACATTCTGTGTGTGTGCCCTTTATGCGCTGTGGAAAGACAACCTCTTAAGCGCTTCACAGATGACATAGACTGCCGACCCTTTCCGGAAGAGAAACTTTTGGGTGCTTGAGAACGTGTGGATCACGCCCAATGCAATTTAAAGGGCCTGCTCGCATTTCTATGCGAGACAGGTTTAGATTCTCGTCTTTAGAGAATCTTCTAATGTAGAGACTTTTGTACGTGTACTACACCTAACGAGGCATTGTGTACAGTGACTCATTGTGTTACACCACAATCACCCATCAACATACCCTGCTCTTTCTTTTGTTTTTCCCCTTTTTCCCGTGAGGAGTAGCAGGCTACCGAACTCTACTCCTTCTTCTCATTAAACTCCTCCTCCCCCCCCCTCCTCCTCCTCCTCCTCCTCCTTCTTCTTCTTCTTTGAAAGAGTTCTGCAAAAAATACACGTGAAACACGAATATCGCCTCGCCCTCAAAGCACAGAGCAAGTGGAACTAAACATGGAGCGACCAATATCAATGTATAATCTACTTGGTGCAATCTGCGACATGATGAAAATTTCTAACCCAAAAAAAAAGAGGAGCAGAAAAACATCGTGAAAACTTTCAAGAAAAAGAACTCAGTTTCGATACAAGGGCAAAGCAGTGATTGCTGCAGTGACAAACAGGAATATTATACAATACAAGGTAGCAGCACATTCCTTCGAGAGTCAGTCTCACGTATTTGTAAAAAAAATAAAAAAGAACGCTAGCTCAAGTCAACTTCGCCGCTTCAGGGAGTGAAGCTGCTTTCGTGCTGCTCGTGGACTCAACGAGAAGTAAGCAATAAGAGTACAGTAGCTATGCTCTAATTGATGGTTTTTTGCATACACTACAGTAGTTTAGTGCATAGAAAGCTATCGTGCTGGTTAATATCAAGTTCATGGTATTGCCTAGTATACTTGACATCACTTTAAAATGACGTCCGAAATCTATTTGTTTTATTATTCAGAACCAGTGAAGCCCAAAAGAGAAACATGCATCTGAAGCTTATTCTTGTCGGCCTGACCATCTTTGGCCTCATTGTTGCTGGTGAGTGCTTTTTTTGAGAACAGAATAATGAGGTGAAACCAGAAACCGTCTATGGCTTCCTAATTTTGCCCGTGCCTTCTGAGAATCGGTTACACACTGGAATAGTTTGCATGTGATAACAAAAGCAAAGCTTTCTAAACAATTGCAGTTCTTTGTAGACCATTTTGTAGAGCTTGCATGTTGTGCCATCCTCGAAAGATTCCCTTTTTTCGTTGGATAATTCAAGGGATGATAAAGCAGCTAGCGAGACATCACCCAACAATCCTACCTTATGATGCGCGTCTGGACCTATCATTCTTTAATACGCGTTTCTGAACATTGTGAAAGACTCTGTAATACCAACATTTAACTCCAACTCAACTTGTTCAATGCACTGATGTTCACACACCTCGTGGCAGCATTCTATGTTGATTCGTTTCGATGCCCTGTGATTGCATCTTCGCTATGACCCAGTGAGCCGACGTGAAACGAACGATATATGAAGTGGAGCGCCCGCTAAAACAGAATCACTGGCAACATCTCTCATGTTATCAGCTTTTGTAACTATATACGATAATATGAATGTTTTCGGACCAACTATATGACTTATGACCTAATTATATTCCAGAAAGTGGTGCCATGCCGGCCAGCGCGAGTGCCCAAGAGGCCGAGGCAAGGGCTGAACCCGAGTCAGCGGAGCGCGCAGGAGCAAGGCAACGCTGAGGAGGCACGCATCAGTGAAGCATGCATGGCATCCCTGTGTGGCTAGGAGCCTGGTGCAACGGAATGACACATTTTACCAGAGACGTCGCGCACCGCCAAAGAATTGATACTTAAAAGGCTGCGTACACATTCGACAACGGCCTATGAAATTGCAGCACCGAAAGTTAGGGTCAGTTGATACCTGTAAAATGCATTCCGGCATCAAATAAAGGTCTGTCTAAACGGCATTTCTGTTGAACCTGAAAGCGTCATTGTTGCTCCCAAGTAGTGTGAAGCATGAGCCTTTGAACGGTGTTCATGGCAAATGTTCGCGTTCCGGGGAAAGGTCCTAAATGCGCTCCTGGCCTTGCCGAAAAGTGAACTCCGACGTATATGTTCGCAGTAACGTTACTTATAGTGCCATTTTTAATTGTGTTTGAGGTTGGGAACCCTTATTCTTGCTTTGCTGAATTGACGAAGCGTTCAATGCGCGTACGTAAGGCGGTACCCTAACATAGGCAGCTGCTCACTTTTTTGACGCTTTTGTTGCTGCTGCTGACAAATTATGTACGAGTGCTTCGTACAGAGTGGGCCTTCAAGACACAAAATAGTTGCGCGATTTTCATAAAGGTGGGGTGGGGGAATTCGAACATTCAGTGCGGCAGTTAAGACTAAAAGCATCAAAGCAATGAACATAAATAAATTCATTTTCATGAATATTCTTGACGAAACACAAATGTTTATCACAGCAGTCAGTTAAAGCATACTTATGCGAACTCTAATAAAGAATGCTAAATTACAAAGGCACAAGTGTCAAGATTGTAACAAGAATATGCGGAAGCATACATCAGTGATCCCTATCAGTAACATTCAAACAGTAATTTATATTACAAAAAAAACCATTTCAACAGCAGGGAGCTTGTGTCATTAGACAATATAGTTACGACAGACTCGAGTAGCAGATTCTAGTTGGACATGGTAATGTGAGTAAATCGCAGGGAAATTATCAAACGTTATGCTATGGTTAATTGTATGAGAATGGTGAATAGGTGCTTTTATAGAAAAATGCTTTTCAATGCCTGCTTCTGTATGAAAGCTACTATAAATAAGCGTCAAGTTTAGCCTGCGACTTCTAAAATATAACGTATCAAATTGGAATGCAAGTTCTTTGGCTTTAGGACTGAAATTTCCGTCATTACGATCATAAATGACTAGAATAACTAAGTTCTGCCTCTTTACATGTTTTTCTGTGTCGAGAACAGGTGAGGGGTGTCAAACAACATATGATTAGTCTATAACAGGACGAACGTATGGTTTATGAAGAAATTTTTAAGTTTGTATGCTAAAGTTCACGTTACGCCGAAGGAACGTAATCGCCTTTTTTGCTTTGCTGAAAAGTAAACTCGAAAGTTTTTGTTTTAAGTTTAGTGTAATAGAATATGGGGTAGTGTGTTCAGGCTCCCTCTCTCGCCGTGCAACGCGTGAAGCAACGCACGTGGACAAAAAACCAGTTCTCAAGGCGGCACTGCCGTAGCATGGGCTGGCAGGATTGTCAGCTCCACGCCACTCCACCTTCTCGGCTGCTGTTCAGTGACCTGTTGCTTGTGTTCGCGCCTGCTTAACGAAAGTTTTTCTGGCAATGTTTTTGCTGGCCACGCGACAGTGAGGCGATGCCGAATCATCAGCGGCTACGACACTGCTTTGCACCTAGGTGCGAAACAGGGTATACCTTTGGAAAAAAGGTGAGCAGCCGTGACTTTTCGCTGCACCCAAAGACGAAGCACGGAGGAAGGTTTGGGAACAAAATTTACATCGAAAGGATGGGACCTTGAACGAAAGCTGCTCTGCATTTGAGCTACACTTCGAGTCTTCATGTGTTCTCGGAGAATACGTGCACGTTAAACGGCGAAGAAGTTCGCGTACCACGTAGAAGACCTGAGCTAACACCGGACGCCGTGCCGTTGTTACTGCCTAACGCTCCAAGCTACTTATCGAACAAAGCGCCACATCCAAGACTTTCGAGAAAGCGGAAGAACTCGGTGGTCGAATCTACCATCTCCAAAAAAACTGCAGTACCCTGTGTTGATGGTGAGGCCACTGATTCAGGTTCATCGATGGACTTTCCTGCTGACTACGAACCCGAGGTGGCGAAAACTGCAGGGACTGCAGCTTCACTGGAACGCTTACTCAAGTTTTGCTCACCTTGAATTTATGTGAGCTCGATCGCACCGCATCTCGTCAAAAAGAGCGGTAATTTACGGGCTGTCATGCCTTCATTTTTTTCGTGAAGGGTATCAACCAGTCTCGAGAGGCAGAACGAAAAAAAAAAAACCTGCGCGCGAAAATCTGTCTGTGTTCATAAAATTGCCACCGTGATGAAGTGATCATGAACTGATAATTCCATGAAATTGCGACGAATTTATTCGGTGTTACTGCTCACTGCAGTATGGGCGCTTCGAAATAAAGGGTTTCTTCTTACAGTCTGAGAGTGGTGTCAAGTGATGTTTCCTTTTGACTGTACAGTGCAATATCCCGGCCACAGCAGCAGTATTTCGGCGGGCGCGTAATCGTTTAAAGACCCAAGATTGTCAAAATTATTCCCAAGTCTTCAGCTACGGCGTGCCTCTCAATCAAACGGCAGTTTTGCCACTTTAGTAACATAAATAAATTTCATGATGGAACTGTCGACAAGAACGGTGCCACATGCGTAACGAATGAAGCCGAAGCTGTCGCAGTGTGCAGACTACGACTCGATATAGCAGCAATATAACAAGAAACTTTCGGGTTTGTAGATGCCCCTTCAATACCTCAATCTTCCTAATTTTTTATTCGTTCACCAACCAAGCCCCGCCACAGTGGTCTAGTGGCTAAGGTACTCGGCTGCTGACCCGCAGGTCGCGGGATCGAATCCCGGCTGCGGCGGCTGCATTTCCGATGGAGGCGGAAATGTTGTAGGCCCGTGAGCTCAGATTTGGGTGCACGTTAAAGAACCCCAGGTGGTCGAAATTTCCGGAGTCCTCCACTACGGCGTCTCTCATAATCATATCGTGGTTTTGAGACGTTAAACCCCCCCCCAAATCAATCATCAATCATTCACAATGCAAGCTTTACAAACTGCAGGCAGTTTCCCCAGGGATGACTGCTTCGCCGTCGTTTGTTAATACCTGCATTTGGACCGTGTGTTGCGGCTTTGACATTTCGTTTTGTTTTGAATGCAGTACAAACAAACCCATTAGAAAGCTTTTCGCTGGCGTGTCAGAATTACGTATGCAAGCGCATATCACGGGATCAAATCCCGGCCATGGCGGCTGAATTTTCGGTGCAGGCGCAAATACTGCGTGTACCTAGATTTAGGTGCACGTTAAAGCACCCCAGGTGGTTGAATTTCCGGAGCACTCCTCTACGGCGTCTCTCATAATCGTATGGTGGTTTTGGACGTTGAACCCCTGTTATTACTAATATCAAAGCACAGAAGTGCATAAAAGGCAAAGCGCGAAGTGACAGGATGAATGGATGAATGGATGGATGGATGAATATGGCTGTACCCTTTAGATCGGGCGGTGGCTAGCGCCACCAAGCCGTAATAATTAATGAACCCAAAAACTGTATTTTTCCTTAAAAAGTGAGTTTGAGGATTCGTACTTTGAAGTGAAGAGTTTAATTTTCACTCGTGTCTTGACTTTAGCCACCAATCAGATAACCTTCTTCTAGTTAAGTCCACTTGCTTAAAGTCTATTTTGCCCTCCCGGTCCCTAAACCCCAGTGCTTTGAAAAACTTTGCGCCATCATCCTGAACTATAGGGTAAAGACCTTTACAGAACATTATCAAGTATTCGGCAGTTTCTTCTTCCTCTCCACACGCACTGCATACTGTGTCTACCCCTTCATATTTGGCCCGATATGTCTTGGTTCGCAGTACTCCTGTCCTTGCCTCAAACAGTAGAGAACTACCCCGAGTATTATCATAGATCCTTTCCTTGGCAATTCCCTGCTTAAAAGTTCGATAGATCTCTAATGCGGACTTCTTAATCATGCCATTTTCCACATGTCAGTCTCCGTTTCCTTCACTTTCTTCTTAACCGATAGTTCTTTTTGGTTTGGCCTTCTGCTGTTTTCTAAGTATTTACCAGTTAACTTCCTGGTTCGCTTCCTACATTTTCTATCGACATTCTTCATGTATAACTAGCTGAAAACCTTCCTAGCCCAACGCTCCTCCTTCATTTCTCTCAATCGCTTCTCAAATTTTATCTTGCTGCTAGCTTCCCTGCCCTCAAATGATGTCCATCCCATATCTCCTTGTATTCCCTGATTTGGTGTATTCCCGTGAGCTCCTAAAGCAAGCCTACTTATTCCACGTTGCTTAATTCCTAATCTTGCTTGAACTTCTGATCTCATGCACAAGACCACATTGCCGAACGTCAGCCCAGGAACCGTGACCCCTTTCCATATTCCTCTCACAACATCATACCTATTGTAATTCCACAGTGCCCTATTTTTCATCACTGCTGCATTCCTGTTACCTTTAGTCGTCACGTATATTTCGTGTTCCCTCAGGTACTCGGTCCCATTGCTTATCCATACGCCCAGATATTTGTATTTATCTGTTATCTCTAGCGTGACCTCCTGTATCCTAAGCTCACTACCTTCGTTGTCATTGAAAATCATGACTGGGGATTTTTCCTTACTGAATCTAAAATCTAACCTATCTCCCTCATTACCGCAGATGTCCATCAATCTCTGCAAATCTTCTTGTTGTTGGCCATTAGCGCTATATCATCTGCGTACATTAATGCTGGTAGTGCCTGATCAATAAGTTTTCCTTGTTTGACTAAAGAGAGGTTGAAGCCCAGCCCACTTCCTTCTAATTTGGCCTCTAATCCTTGTAGGTACATCACGAATAATAAGGGCCATGCTAAGGTGGTGCCATCTCGCGGCTGTCGACACCAACTGCGTCAGCCACGGCTCTTCGCTGAACACACTACCCCATATTCTAGCACACTCTCTTTTAAGTAACGCTACTTAGAGCGCCATTGTGAATACACACGAGGGTGTTTTCTAGAAATTGTTTACCAGCAAAATCTATGTGAACTGTCTTGTTGATGTTTTTATTTATACAAATAAATCACGGGTTGTAATGTCTGACGACATTGTGTGAGGTGGGGTATGACAATAATATACGATAACTACAAAATGGTGCAAGACATATCCAATTCAATAAGCAACAGAGAAAAGTGAATAACAAAGACTAAAAAAACAACA